GGCATGTTCAAATTCATTTTTTCCATGATTTATGGATTTTAATGAATTTTAATTCCACCCATGTTTATTTGTTTGTCTTCTGTATTTGAAACCTGATAAAAAAAATTAGATTTTGTTACTGTAGTATATAATATAATGAATGATTAATTTAAAGTTATTAATTTGTTGTCGTTTGTGGAAACATACTATTATTTTCGTACTATACATATTACTGATTTTAAATCTTTAGACTTTCAGCATTTTTTTTATTATTTTATTTGAACCATATATAACCAACAATTGACCCTTGAGGCATCCCCATGTTTGAATATTTGTACTCTCATTCACTGTATGCAGTTTACTTATGTCAATACATTAGTTTGTTTTGACCTTTGGTACTTCAAACTAAGAGTTGCCATCAAATCTAAGGTTGTCAAGATATTTGATAGGGTAACCAGACAATAAAAAATGGACCATCATATTTTATTAATGATACTTGTAATTTTATAAATTATATTTTATGCAATTCTCATTTCGTGTGAGGCCATTTAAGATGTATTTGGTTCAGGCTGTCCTATTTCTTTTTTTTTTTTTTTTAACTATATGCGCTTTTTAGGAAGTTTTGACCACAATTTCCACTATTTTATAACGCTTTGTAGAAAATATTTAGTATCGTCTGAACGTACCTGTTTCCTTAAGGGGTTTTCTATGGGAATGTTCAAATTCATTTTTTCCATGATTTATGGATTTTAATGAATTTTAATTCCACCCATGTTTATTTGTTTGTCTTCTGTATTTGAAACCTGATAAAAAAAATTAGATTTTGTTACTGTAGTATATAATATAATGAATGATTAATTTAAAGTTATTAATTTGTTGTCGTTTGTGGAAACATACTATTATTTTCGTACTATACATATTACTGATTTTAAATCTTTAGACATTCAGCATTTTTTTATTATTTTATTTGAACCATATTTAACCAACAATTGACCCTTGAGGCATTCCCATGTTTGAATATTTGTACTCTCATTCACTGCATGCATACTTATGTCAATACATTAGTTTGTTTTGACCTTTGACCAACTAGGAGTTGCCATCAAATCTAAGGTTGTCAAGATATTTGATAGGGTCACCAGACAATAAAAAATGGACCATTGGTGCTGTTTATTTGGTCAAAATTTATTAACAGTTCTGGAAATTGTCTATGGGCCTGTTTCTGCTGCTTTTCCTAAAGTATACCATATAAAATACGGTATCTGAAATCCAGTGTCCCGTTTCTGATAAAAGTACTTCTTGGGTGGTCTTGTTTAAAAGGTCCTCTTTATTACAAAAATGCCTTTCGTGAGACAGAAGTTTGGATTGACCTGTGTAGTGAGTTTCTTCTTTTCGATAAACATGGTTTCTTTAAAGAACGTTGTAATTTTGGTTTCATATATTTTGGCTGACAGAAAAATCAAAACACAACCAGTGTCATGCTCTATTGTCTCTTGACCTTATGTCTTATTCTTTATAGGCAGCAGAAATGGGGTATGAAAAATATTGTACCGGTTGCAAAATACCGGATTAATTCCACAAGAATAGTGGGGAAAAATACGGTATATAAAATACGGTATATTTTTATGAGCCCCATTTCTGCTACAAAAAAAATACCGTATTTTAAAAATACTGTATTTAAAAATACCGTGTATACAGTATTTTTTTGGCAGCAGACACAGGGCCTATGAAGATACAACTATTGTTACAGTATAGTAGTTCCTCTAGGATTTAATTGAAAGAGAAACTGTTCCAACATTGAAATACAAAAAAACTGTTAACAACAAAAATTATATATGAACAACTTAGTTGAATGGACTTAGGTTCACAAAGATAGACATTTTAGGATATAGAGTTACCATATGAAAAGCTAGAATACAGGGAGGGGTTTAGAAGACCATACAGTTTCAGTTTCCTGTCGCATTAGATGTGGAAGATGATGGCCGGAACTCAGATTGACAATGATTTCAAGTAAAGTAGATCCAGACTAACCCAAGTCTGGCACATCCTGTATGGTTTAATCCGAGTGTATTGTCATTGAATGTCTAAAATTGTACAATATTTGAACTCTGACATTGGCAGGCTAGCACGTAGACTAGCCAAGTAATATGCATTAACATTTTTAATATTAAATTAAAAGTTTATCTGGAGTTTTCATTTTTCTGTAGGTGGTTCACTTGCCAATATGTATGCATTGAATCTTGCGAGGTACAAGAAATTCCCACAGTCAAAGGAGAAAGGAATGTATGGATGTCCGAGACTTGCTGTATTCACCTCTGAACAGGTGCAGTAGTAATTGTTATCTAACAAAAAAATAATAAGAAATAATGTTGAAACTGTTGCTATAATATGAAGCATAGAAGCGGTTTGGCGCAGCGAGAATGGTTTGGTCTTCCAACCTTCAGGTTGGGATTTCAATCCGTAGCTGTACATTTTGCTTGTGTCCTTGAGCAAGGCACTTTATCCGCATTGCTTCTCTCTACCCAGGAGTATAACTAGGTATCTGGTGGGGTTGCCTGCTCTTGCGTTGATTACCAGCAGCAACATTTAAGCATGTGTACCCAATGACCAGAGAAAAGAAGCGCTTTGTATTTAAAAAGAAAAGGCACTATATAAATAATATAAATAATAATAATAACAACTGTTGGGAATGATTGACAAAGTTATGAATTTAGCAACACTGTTGACTCAAATACAGGTTTGTCACAATACCTTTATGAAATTTGTTCAATTACATTACATATGGTGGTACATAAATATCATATCATCATATATGGTATATACATATTATGATAACTATAGAGTTGGATTATAATAATTATATTCTAAAACATACATGGTACATAGAGCCATTATTATGTGGTTGGATTATAAGCAGCAATATTAATAGTACACTTGACATCTGGCTCAATAAATATTATTATTAATATTAGTATTAATATAAACATAGTATTCATACAGTATGAATTTTATAAGAAGCAATTTTGTATAAGATGAGTGTACATAGGGGACATATCTTCATATCCTATTGTTGTCCATTCACTCACATTACAGTATGCATTTTGTTGACTGTTACCTGTTTTGTTTGTCTAAATGGCTTTACTTCCGACATTCTGTAATTAATGGTAGTTGATTATTAAATTTCAGCATAACAATAATATTATATTACAAGTTTGCATACATGCCCTACAGTGTCAATGCTCTAAGAGCATTCTACTGGATACTAGTATGCTATGATCAGAGTTGATAATATAGTGGTTACGATTTAAGAGTTCTTGTGTGATCCAATAACTTTGATATTGTATTTATTTTTCAGAGTCATTATTCCCTTAAGAAGGGAGCATTCTTCCTTGGTTTAGGTCTTGAAAGCCTAAAAATCGTGAAATGTGATGATAGGTAAGTATAAACTAGTAGGAATTTATAGTAGTGCTAAAAAAAAACAAAAAAAAAACAACTAGCATTCCTTCCCACCATCCAAAATTCAGGTTATTCATGGCCCATTAGTTAAGTGCTTGGAAATATTTGCTATGTTTAATTGAGTGAAACTATGGTTTGGTGGTTCTTGTATTCACCTGAAAATCCAAGTCTTAAAATCAGTTCTGTAATTTCTCATCTGTACACCCACCCACTTTTGAATAATTTGTATGAAAAATGATCCACTCAAAAAGGTGGGGGGAAGGGGGAAGAAAAGGGTTATGCTTTTGAAAGAGTGACTAAGGTGTCACATAGGCCAGTATTTAATATTGAGCTGTAAAATATGGAAGCTCAAAATATGGCCTAGAAATTATTTCACTATATATTAATAGTTTAATATCTAATTAATTTTTTACTGAAATCTTAGTTCAAAAATGCTCAACAATGCAGTTATTTGACATCTTTTTGGTAGTTATTTCTATTAAAAGCTATATACACGAATATCTTAGGTAGGTGATTACTCAAATTCATTTTTATCTTGACTCCAAAAATGCTGCTTATATTGCTTCACACCCCAATAATCATGGCATTAATTGTCAAATTTCAATGAATGACCCATGTTAAAGATTCCATACACAAGTATCTGAAAATACTGTACTAATAACTTAAAAAACAAAACATTTACTCTAATTGCCTTGTCCTGTGGATGGGACATTAAGCTGTTGAACCTGTGTAAACAATGGTATATATCTAGTACAATGTTCGGATTAGAGTGGATAATTGGGCATGTTTACATTTCTTGATGTCTGTACACTGCAATACCTGTGCTGTGCTAGTAAAAAGGAGTGCTATGTATCTGGTAGGTTCGCTATAGAGAATCTCCGGGCCATGTATATATTCAGTTCAGACAGACATTACTCCAGTTTGCATTAATCAATGCAGGTTCATTCGGCCAGATAGTGCCCCAAGTCCTCTTAAATTGATAGCCCATTCTTGATGGACCGACCCAGTCACTGATAACAGTTCCTGTTTATTTTAATTGGCATCTTCTATGTCAAATCTTACACATTATCGACTTATGTATGGATTTTGCAAGTGTGGGCATTTATGTTTGTAATTTGATTCCTCAACAGTGGTAAGATGATCCCAGGAGAACTTGAAAAGGCCATTAAGAAAGCAGAGGAAGAGGTAAACTGCTTTATTAATATTATTTTTTTTATTAAAATGTGCTACTGTAGTATCATTTAATTTTATATTGTTAATTATATTATACTCTAGTTATTTGGTATATTACAGTACAGTATATAGATATATGGGAACAGCCCAAAGACATGGCATTTTAATAGTTCAGCATTCCAATTCAGAAGGGGAATTTGAGGTGCTGGTAAATCCATTACCAGTAGTGATATATTTTGTTTCTATTTTCTTCAGCCAGTCTTATATCCCTGGCCAAATAATTTTGATATGGAAATTCACAAATATTTGCTCTTTTGAGACACAACTAACAATAAATTGTTGATACTATGTGTATTTATATATATAGAGACAGGTACGATCCTTTGGATGAAATTGCAGATATATGTGAGAAACGTGATTTGTGGCTTCACGTAGATGTAAGTAAACAAAAATCTTGATGGTTCTTAAACCTATAATATACTGTTTAACTATTGGTGTTTAAAAATCTTTTTTGGTGTTTAGTCTGTTTATCGCAATGCCGAAAAACGGCAAAAAACCGTCAGAGTAGTAGTAGCAGTAGCAGCAGTAGTAGTAGTATATAAATTAAAACTATTGCTTATTGATTTTTTATTATTTTTGTGTAGGCTGCTTGGGGAGGAGCAGCCCTACTGTCCAGCAAGTATAAGCATTTACTGAAAGGTGTGGAGAGGACCAACTCACTTACCTGGTGTCAACACAAGATGATGGGAGTTCCTCTTCAATGTTCTGCTTTTGTTCTCAATGGAAATGTAAGCCAATTTTTGTTTTTAAAATTCACATTCAAGAACAAGTATGCTCCTCAATACAAAATAGAACTATCTGATGCAGGGGTGCCAAGTCGCCCTCTAGTCATAGGAGTTCTTTTAGAAATTGGCAGTGTTTCCTGTACTCCAATGAGCAAGAAGAATATGCAACAGTCAAAATTAACTAATTAATTAAATTATTAATTAATTAAAAAGATATATTTACAGATAATTTGAACATTGAAATGAAGCGGTTGGCATTGTAGAAGCAGTTGGCGCATAAGTGTGCACTGTGTAATAATCATTTTTTATGGTAATATTCTAATCAGTTCTTCTATTTCGTCTGGATGTAGACATGGCCTATATAAGATATTCTGTACTCACACGAATAAGCGCCCCATTTGAATAAGCCCCCTCTTGAATAGGCGCCCCTCCTATTTGATTTTTATTCATTTTTTAAAACAATCTTGTGATATTTTTTTTATCAAGCCAATAATCTAATCAATTCTGGGACGTAGTTGACATGATTTGAGCTGAGGAGTGGATTCACATTTTCTTCTTATGTCGATTTCAAAATGATGATATTTCTTCTGGACAGATGAGAACTCCCTGGACAGTATCTTTCCAACTTATTTTTACATTATATAGTCCTATTTCTCTTTTCCTTTTCCCAACAATGTGTGCCTTTAGTTTGCAAGAGACCCCGCAATTATCCTGCTAATCTCAATCGGCAGATGGCCAACAAGATACAAGCTAATCTTTTTTCTCATATGAACCCCTCAATTTTCATCTATTTCCATAAGCGCCCCATTTCAACACTGTTTTTATAAGCGCCCCGGTTAAATAAGTGCTCCTCAAAAAGTGCAACAGATTATTTATTCGCACGAGTATGGTAAGTGCAAATCTACTTTCCTCTTGAAAAAACATTGAAAAGAACAACACAAATGAAAATTATGACTTAATTTTTGGTATAATAGGAAGGACTGCTTCATAGAGCCCACTCAGCAGGGGCAAGGTATTTATTTCAACAAGATAAGTTCTACGATATGTCGTACGATACTGGAGACAAGTCAATCCAGTGTGGACGAAAAGTGGACGCATTCAAGATTTGGCTAATGTGGAAAAAGAAGGGAAATAAAGGATTTGAGGCTGAAATTAATCACAAGTTTAATAATTCCAGGTAAGGATTTGTTTGGTATTCTTTGGTAGACATTCAGTGATATTCTGATTTTATTTATTTAAGTTATACATTGTGTAATGTAATGTTTAACAATCTTGAACATTCAGTTAAAACATTAAATTGCTAATTTAAAAGGATCAAGTAAGTTATCAACTTGCTAAAAGATATGTGTTACAGCAGTTACACAGATTTGCAGATTTTAAAATTGAGTACCTGCTCTGATATGCTAGCAACATGCTCTAAGATATGTATCAAATCAATTTTACTGATGTACAGACTTGAGTCCCTGCAAATTTAAGAGCAATGCAAACAATATTAGATAAAACTGTGTTACTTATGCGTCTGTTTGACAAGGAAAATATGTTCTCACTCAATTTTATAATTTTACTGATACACAAACTTAATAAAGTGACAAGAAAAATATGTTCTCAGTCAATTTTATAATTGAAGATTATAATACAGCACTCTTTTACAGACTTCAAAAATTGATTACCTGCTAATTTAAGGGTCTATTCAAACAATATTTGATAAGATGGTGTGTTTTATGTGTATAATTGGGAAGAAAATTTATTGTCTGATTCAAATTCAAATGACAATTTTTCGATGATGGAAATAATAAAGGTATACAGAACAATAGAAATAATAAAAAGAAAAAAAAAAAAAACTATCATTGGGAGCATGACTAGAAGTAAAACTTGTCTCATCATGACCCCATGAATAAAAAAAAATAGATGAACTTAAAAGCTACCATAATTATTTACTGATGGTACAATGAGAAGTATTATTTTTAAATTTTACTTTTAAAGACAGGTAAAAAAATTGAATTTTTAATTGGAACATCGAGATCATTTCATAAATTAGGACCAGCAACAGAAACAAAAAATTGACTTTCCGAGTCTTGACGAACTGGGACAGAAAGCACTTTTAAAATTCATATGTGGAACTAATATCTACTACATATGAAATCGGCAATACATGTATTAAATATAAATTCTAAATGTATTTAATTTCAGATACATGGCTAATGTTATTAAAAGCAGAAAAGATTTCATCTTAGTCCTTGAAGTAAGTTTTAAACTTGGCTTTTTGACTGACTCCACGGAAAACAGTAGGGTATTGTCTCCAAGTGGACAGCCCAACACAGCACCAGAAAAACCCCACTGGAAGTGTTCAGGCCCGCAATACTCCATCATCTGTGGTGTGTTTAACACCTAAATACCTCTACTCCTTTCATATCATATTATTGTTATTCTCAAATACTTTATTACTAAAATGTTTTATCATCTCAAAACAAAATTGTTGATAAACTAATATTATGAGCAAGTTGGTATGCACATACAGTAATATGTTTAGTATAACCAACTATTCTGGATATGTTGATTGCTTTTAGCCTGAATGCACCAATGTATGCTTCTGGTACCTTCCCCCGTGCCTGCAGGGATTGGAACGAACACCAGAATTCTGGGACAGAATGAGAAAGGTAAAGGATCATATTTGAAGAGAATATTATTTTCAATTTTAATTATTGTTTTAATGAAGTATTATTTTCACTATTACTATATTATGTATTTTAGTATTATATTAATGTGTGTGCTTTAGTGTGTGTGTGTGTGTGTTTTATGTGTATGTATGACATTTATCTTTGCAGAATATTTTCAGTATCAAATAATGTAATTATTTACAGAGGGACAAGATATTTTTTATTTATCATTATCAATCATTACTATAATAATAATCATCTTCAATCATTATTGCTGTTGTAATTGTCATAGAATTTTTGTTATTTATTAATTATTTAAAACAAGTACAAAAACATGTTTACATTATTTCGATCACTGCAATGCATGTAATAAAAATGCACAGTACCTGATACTCTTATAGTAATAATATGTCAACCTAAATTTCTGTCCAGACTATTAAAATATATTTGACACAAACATGTGTCATGCCTAAATATGGCCATGATGACATCACATCCTGACCATATATAGGCACATCATGACTATATATGGGCATACAATATATGTGGGCATACAACAGTTTTGGGTCAAAGAAAATTTGATAATCTAGACAGAGCTTTATATAGCTCATTGTTCCAATAACCTGGGGTAGAATTAACAAAATATTAAAGCTACAAAGCTATAAAAGTGAACTTGCCCTCATTTCCCTGAGTGGAGTGGGACAACCGTGTGTGAAGTGACTTACCCAAGGACACAAGTGATATGCACAGAGAAGTGATGAGAGCCTGCATCGCACCTGTAGCTTCTACTCATAATTATATTAATACAGTGTGAAGGTATGCAAAGTAATACATATTAATACATGAATGAGTGTGTGAGTGTATATCATTGGCATTGACAATATGAAAATATACATAATAGTGACTATAATATAGAATTAAATTGCTTGTGACACCTGGCACAAATTAAGAGATGGATATCCTCACAAAATGTTATCATTTCTACCAGGTTGCACCTATTATCAAGGAACGCATGGTTCGGAATGGATCTCTCCTGATAGGATATCAACCGCTTGAGCCCAGAGTCAACTTCTTCCGTCAGATATTCGCTAATGCTCAGACGTCAAAAGAGGACGTTGACTATATCATCAACGAAATTGCGACTCTAGGAGAGGATTTGCAAGTTTAGTAGCCAACCATCCAAGGGCAGATAGGAAAAAAATTTGTTGAAGTATCACTCTCTTTTTTAAAATTTGATGCAGAAGAAAGACATTTTAATGAAAATTATTTCAAATAGCCTAAAAAAACCTGTTCACAGAAGACATTGAACATTATCGACATGAACATTATTTTGGTAGTTGGAAGAGATGATTTGCATGTCCACTATGTGATCAGTGCAAAACGTTTATCTGCTCGTCCAGATAGAGATGTTCAGTTGTTTTCCCTTGTAGAACTTGAAAAATATAAAGATGTAGTGAATTTTAAAAAAAAAATCTTGACCAGGCAAAAGTGATTTTTTTTCCTACCTGCCAGGATGCTTGTTCAAATATGGATGTGTGTGTGTGTGTGTGTAAGGAATAATACATGTGTTTATGCAAATTTCAATAATCATATTATAATCAAGTAAATTATTCTCATTGAGCTTCATACAAATAATTTATAAATCATATCGAATAATATTTACCTCAGTTTAATTGTAATTCAGTAATATATATATACTGTACTATATATATAGATATACTATGTATAGTACAGTAATGATTTTGAACAAGAAAATCATGTTGTGTATGTGAAATATATATTTTATTGTATATTCCCACCAAAAGTGGACGTTTGGCATTATAAGTGTACCGATATATATATATATATATACATACAGCTTACATGAAGTATTGAAAATCATGCAAGGTCTTAATGATGAGAATAAGATAAAAATAATTGCTGATTTACTGTAGCAAGCAAGCTTAAACCTCTCTCTAAGGTAGCATCCCATCTTATAAAAATAAAATACATTTTGTAATATATAAAATATTACATATTTTATATGTTTATATAATATGAACATTGAAGGTCAAGCCCCTGCTCATTATTGACATTCATTTGTTGGAAAGAAGAGCAGCCAATCAACACCAATGTGTAACAATACTATAAAAAAAACAAAATGGCACTGCTGTTTTAGCAAAAAAAAATTGCATTCGTTGTAAACAAATAACATTAGAAACTGAAAAATTTACAGAAATCACAAAAATGGACCAAAAAGAGTACAGTACCATAGTAGTGTGCTTCGTTCTCTGTATGCAGATACACTGAAGTTTTGTCTAGACATTTCACCTGTGAAACATCATAATACCAAACTCAGAGAATTAATAAGCAAATTTGATTTTCAAACATGTTTTGGTTATCAGTGGCTTCATACTTGTGTATAAAATATCTCATGTTGAGAATTTAATTATGTGTGAAGTAAGTGTTTTGTATGAATATTTAAAGTAACAATAAAGTCCTGTATAAGAATCCAATGCGATTTTGTTTTATTTTTCATTGATTGTAAACTTAAACAAGATTTAGTCACATTTCATACACTGTTCGTGGCAGTATATCCCAGCTCCTCAAACTTTTTAGGGTGGAGACCCACTTTTAGACTCCCTATTCTATGTCGACCAAGGCATATACCACGTGTTGCAAGCTCAATAACATCATAATGCTACTGTTTTTTGACATTGCCTTGTTTTTGTTTAAAATCTATGCTAGTATAATTTGATAAAAATAAATACATTTGATTCTACAGTACAGTTTTGCATTGAAAGAAATATTGCAAGAAATTTTAAATACCTGTATTACAAACAGCACACAGAATTTCTTTTGAATATTAAATGTCTTATTTAAAAGTTAAACCAATATTTTTATGAGGAAATTGGTTTCATAACTTTGGTTGCGTTTCATCATGATTGAAATCAGTGGCGGATTCAGGCCCACCCCTAAAGCTCTTCACACTTTTGAAGGTTCAAAGTTTATGATTGATTAATTCAAAAAGCCGAATATTGTTGGTAACTCTTCTCTATTCTTCCAGTATGTTTTCAAAAAGCAGACCTTGATTTGTTGATTATTTTCCTGGAGTTGGTAAGGTGTTCATATACTTACAAATGATGCCCAACATCACCTCATCAGCACCACCCCCTATTGACAACAATCTGCAGGTAAATTAAAACAGGTGTTTACATTATGCACACACTAAAAAATTAACAATTATACAAGTCTTGAATTATGTATACAAGCCTTGAAGACTTTCCAATTAATACCCCTTGTCATATTACTTTTTTCATGAATTTTAATTTTTACTGAAAATTACATTTTTATTATGAAATCGTACACAACATGCAACCTCCTCACCTCCATGGGGTGTTCCTCATCATTCATACACCTTTAGCAAACCTCACAATTCTGCACTATTCCACTTTAAGGTTAAAAATATCTTACTCTAATGGTGTAAATTTAAGATGCTCATATATATGCTTGCCTGAAATCCCTGTAAAATCTGCTAACAAGGACATCGCTGGTAAATCCCATGCCACCCCAGAACTGCAGGCAGGAATCTGTTGCTTCTCTGGCAAAACGTCCAGCTTTTAGCTTACACATCGAAGCTAACTTTGTCACATCATTCCCTTTTACATACAGACCTACAAATATTAGATTTGATTTATTTATTGCTTTTAAATTAAATGTATAAAAATATAAAAACAATCACGTTTTTCCATTAAACATAATTCTAACTAGAAATGCTCCTTTTATGCTGCGCAGTAAAAGCATAGATAGCCTCCAAGCAGTAGGAGTTTGAAATTAGAATAATTTACACACACATACCAAAAACAAGGCTTAGTCTTTGATATGGTATTTAGCATAAATGGTATTAGTATAAATTTCCTGATTAGAGAAATATTAATTATACAAATAAGCAATTATCTTATTCACACATACCAAAAAACAAGGCTCAGTCTTTTTATTACCATCTTGCATTCCGCCAAGTTTGAAAGCAATTCAAGCCCCAACCCCCCACACCGGCCAGAGCTTATCAGGCAGTTGGAATAAAAAACTTAATGAAATTAAATGCGTTTTTTTGAGTTGAGTTTGAGAGTTTGGTAACAATTGTATTTTATCAATTTTACATTTAAAAATATTTTTCAAGTCTGAGAGTACCATTTCCAGCCATCCAGAGGTCCCTATATTTAAAGAAAAAAAATCACATTAGGATGGGGGCAGCGCCCCTCCCAAAGCTTAAGCCTATGGCCGTTGGATAGCGCTGTGCACCGAAGTTATCCTTATTTCACTCATCTCCCTGTCGAACAGCTTAGCCCCCCCCCCCAGAAAAAATATTCCACAGCCACCACTGACCCATTTATTCTTGAAGACAAACAATGCAGGTAACAAGAAATATGACCAGAGTCAGACTCGTGTCACCTTATCACTCTGCCACACAATCTCCACTTACCAACAGTTCTAAAGAGCAATGCCCTAAGAAGTTCTATTTCTGTTTGTAACTCTGCAAGTCTGAAATGAACCGTCTGATTGGAGAGGATACTCTGACCAAATGCCTTCCTTTGGCCTGTGTACTCAATCGTTTCCTGGATTATTCTATCTAAAGGATGCAACACTGACAAAATAAGAACCACATCATAAGTTAATCTTGCGTATCTTGCTTCAGAAATACATATAAAGAGGGACCTATTTGGTATTAATCTTTTCCCTATCATCACTTAATGGTAGATGATGAATATTTAAATCAAAATTGATATTTAAGCATGCGAGAGAATGAAATTTATTTGTGAGCATATCAACACTTGTAGGACAGGAATAAATTCTTACCGGCGGCTGCAGCAAACATTCTTTCCTCTTGAAACTGCATCATCTGGTACATAAAACCAGCACCCTCTTCACCAATGATGTACTTCTTGGGGATAGCCACATCTTCAAAGAAAATCTGAGCTGTATCCGAAGATTTCATGCCAATTTTATCAATCTTTTTGGCTCGAACCACACCTAAAAACACAAATATGCTCTTAGTCAGCAGTGTACAAAATATTTAGTAAGATTGCGAAACGATGCCTCTTTATAACAACATAACTTAAGAATAATTTAAGAGAAACTCAAATACCTTGCTTTTGTATGCAGGACAATTTTTGTGGTCCACCCTATGGCAGATTAAATCAATACTCTATTATTACATGTCCAAAAACATATTTCCCATAATTCATTTTATGAATGCTACTTCAGACAGGTTTGAATAAAAACTAGTGGGTATTTTTATCTGCTATGTTAATCAAAGCCTTTCTCACCTTTGGTGTTCATTGGTAGACAGAATAGGGACTTGTTTTTGTAGGCAGGGCCATCATTTGTATTAGCTAATAAGCACATCCAATCAGCCTGATGCCCATTGGTGATCCACATCTTTCCACCATTAATCACATAATCATCTCCTTTCTTCACTGCTGTTGTCTGAATGTCTATAAAGTGCACAACAATTACATTGGCGAAAATAGCGCATATTTTTCTACTACAAGACTTTTAATTGTATACAGTTAAACTTGCCTAAGTCGACTGCCTAACTTGAATATTTCTAAGTCGATCTTATTTTACATGCCAAATTATGGTGTTTTCACTTAAATATTCTCTCTGTAAGTCAAATTTTATCTAAGTCAAACAATTTTTCAATGCCATTTTGGATTTGACTTAGGCAAGTTCAACTGCACATTTATTTACTAATTTATAGTTTTTATTATTATTATTATTATTATTATTATAATAATTATTGTTATTGAATCTTTCTTTTATAAAGAAAGCTTGTTCACCAAGGCGGTGTTCTTCTACAAGGCTGTATATATATTTTACATATAATGAAAGAAACTTAACTATAAAATGTACAACTAACTATAATGACGTTTATAAATACAATACCTGATACGTAAGTACTTTTATAAAAGTTTAACAGTGATGGCACTCCCACCTTAAAAGCACCTCCACTTAAGCTCTCTTTAAAATTTTATGCGACAAGTAAATGTGATATGACCATATTTGGGTGTAATATGACATAATCAAGCATATCACACCAATTTGTCAATAAAATTTGATAGTGTCAACTGACTTTACTACAGAGCATATGCAAAAGAAAGCCAGATGGTCGATCACAAATCTATACACTTACTGGCAACATCAGAACCAGCTCCTGATTCACTGACCCCCAAACATGCAACAACATCCCCAGCAATCGTTGGCCGCAGAAACTCATTTTTCAGCTCCTCACTCCCAAATCTGTTAGCAATTTAAATTGACAATATTATGAATAAAATATCAGCGTGGATAGATGACACCACTTCAGTAATCAACACATGAATTATAATATTTGTTAGCAGTTGTAGTAATGCATTTAATACAGTATGTATTCTGGGGTTATTTTAATCTCCGATGAGGATCTCTAGGAGTACTCGACTCATTGATTAATAGATCGTTTTTGGTCATCGATTAATAGATCATTTTTGTATGGCCGGCCCTTAGGGTCAATATACTCTACTGCCTCTATTATACAGTCCACTGATTAATAGATATTATGAGGTCCGCATCGCCAGTTTTAAACGGATGCTCAGGAAATTTTGTACACATAAACTAGAGGGGATTTCCAACAAATGTTCATGGCCCTTTTTTTTTAAGTTTGACCCCAGGCTGGCCCTTACCATTACAAAACAAATCAGGGGTTTCAGTAAGGACTGTACATTACTGCCATTACCACTAATAAGACACATCGCATGGATGGTGTGATGGGTTAACAAAGTGTTTAAGGAACCAAAGGTTCGAATCGCGTCTTGGTATTCAATTTTTAATTTTTTTCAATTTTAACACATTTTAATTTTGTACAAATGAACATTCTAATTATTGTTAAGTTGACCTCAGGATGCCCTGTACACCTACAAACCAAAACAGGGGTTTCAGCAAGGACTGTACAAACCAGCATTAACCGAATGCGCCATTTATGCAACATGTCCTGTTAGTGGTAGTAATTAATGGCAATTATGAACCCAAAAACCCAATGTGTACCATATTTAATCATGGTACACATGATTAAATATGGTACACATTGGGTACCATATTTAATCATGGATGATATTTCCTCCATGATTTAAGCATGGTTCAATAATAGTGTAAAAAAAAAAAGCCTTGTCCTAAAGGTGCATACACCTGAAATGCTAAAAGCTGAATAGAGAGACGTAACCTCAGTTTAACGCGCAGACCAGTGAGAGGTCGCTCTTCTTTGTATGGGCAGCCTTTAGGGCCAATATACTCTACTGCCACTATTACACTTCCCTCATCGAGCTTTTGAGATTACGAGGCCTTGTTAAATAAATAGTTTGGCATTGCAGTATCATGGTGAATTACATTAAACTGACAATGTAAAAACAACTCAAAAGGAACAATTAGAAGAAATATTTTGGATGAAAAAACAAGCCTACAACATATATAAACTCTTGCATTTACATTTTGTTTTTATTTCAGGGCTTTATATACCTTGCCAATGCTGGAGTAGCCATGTCTGATTGTACTCCAATAGCCATTGGAATTCCCCCACAGTTAACTGAACCAAGCTCCATTGCAACTGCTAAACTAAAGGTAAAATCCAGGCCCAGACCTCCATACTCTGCAAAAAGAAATTTCATCATTATTATTAATGTGTGATATCTAATATATGATGTTTTCATTAGTTGCCTGTCTGGAAACACATACAATTTAGGAAATGGTTTAAACAAATTCAGATTTTTTTTTTTAATTATTATAATAGAATATACCATTATGCAATTTAAACATATAACTTATATTTTTCAAGTTAATAGACTCAACTAAGACAATACAGTATATCTATTAAGGATTAGTTCCATTCGTTTTGTTCCATTGCACGCCTCCATCTAAATGTTTTCATTCATTGAAAGAAGATGAACTGTTTAATTTAGAAAAAAGACAATATTTTTCATAAAATTGCAAATGACATGGACCTGTTACAGTGAGAACAAATGTTTTATTTGTGCAATGGAAAGGATATTTTCATAAGGTGAAAGATGGACTATTCAGTCCACTCAGTTCTGTCTCATCAAATGGAAGAAATCCATCTTTCAACCCATGAAAATATTCTTCCGCTTGCACTTATTTATAATCATTATTTGTATTTTTATCTACCAGTTGGTTTGGTGACACCTAGAAACCCTGCATCTCCCAACTTCTTGAAAACTTCATGTGCAGGAAACTGTTCATTTGCTTCCCACAAATCAACATATGGGTTGATATCACGCTGGATGAGCTATTAGACAAAAAGATAACACAAAGAAATGTGAGCAGTATTGTAAAAAATTAACATCCACTCATAAATTATCTGTTTCGGGGATGGAGATATTTATTTATTTAAAAAAAAATTTTTTTTGTGGCATACATGAATCATCTGACAATCCACATATGAAAATATCATTGTGGTAATTATATATCATATTAAAGCATTACCATTTACATCAACAACAATAAAAATAGAATAACAACAGGAGTATTTAAACAGCCTACATTGTTTAAAGAGATTGATTATGTTTGTAATACCACTTTCATCAAAGCAGAGTACTGTGAGCTCAAAAGCTTGCATCTACAGTAGTCATTTTAAACTAGTCTTCACAATATCCAGAATGTAAATAAAGGCCTGCACAGGAAATATATCATCTGCGCAAATATTAGGCCTAGAAATCAGGCCACGCATTTCAAAAAATAAAGAGCCGATTTCCACGCAGATTTTGCTGAAAATTGGGCTTGGACTAATCTAATAAATAACCAATGTGTTCTGCAGTACAGTAGTTACGATTCTGCGCACCTATTTTCCTAGAGTTTTTCAGCGCAAATTTGAGCTAGTTTTTGAGGTATCCGCACAATTATAATACTCTACAGTATAGTAAAGTACTACTAGTGTTTCCAGAGTTTATCATTTATTATCATTAACATCAGACTAGTACGACTTAGGCCTATCAAGGTAATTCAACAGAAGGACGCACATTTCCGCTCTCAAACATAGAGCGTGCGTGCAGTCCTTTGATCTTTACTGTGGCATCGACAATCCGATACTAGTTGCGAGTAAAGCCGTCAATTATTAGTCTATGCGTGCCATTCGTTTTTTGGTGTTAGTTTTTATTTTATTAATTTTGGGTACTTCGCAATGTCCGTTACATCTGATTTTTTTTACCGCGAGCTTGTTAAATGCTTCTATAAACTGCAATTTTGATTTGTGAAAATTGACCAAGAAAATGAAAAGTTATAGCAATTTAAATTTTACGAATTTTACAAAATTTCATGTTCTTATGTAACATTAATCTGTCATTTTGACAATGTTGGCATAAGGTGCCGAAAACGAGCATTTGCGTATATACAGAACATTTATTAATTTTTTCTGCAAAGTGAGTCTCATGAACGACAATTCACCACAATTTTGGTAAAATTAATGTTGAAATGAAGAATATATTTCAGTCTAATGTTAGTGCAAAATATCATTAGTCCTTTGAAATCACCGCACGACGTGTGATTATCATGGCAACTAACACGCGTGTGGGTAAATTGTCACGTACGGTGATGGTTTATGGTTTGGTTGCTATGGTTTTTGTGACGTTCAGCGTGTAGGGACGCACGT